ACAGCTCACCCTCACCGTCTTTCGTACTTGCACTCATACATATAATGCGTAGTGAATCATACATTAAAGTGAACACACACACACACATGAATGTACAATAAGAATAGCCACCCACATATGAACACAGAACAACATACGAGCATTGTCTTCCGCGCTAAACCATGTGTACATAAATGTAGCCATCTACACTGTATGTACATCTGTACGTAAAATACGTACAATGTCAATGCTCGAGTAAAGATACATGCGTGCATTTTGCTTTATCATCTCAAAAGCGCCGACGATCTGTGATCGTTTCACCGCAAAATTGCATTATTCTAAGTGCTTATATCAGTGTCAAAAAAGAGCTTGATTACCATCGACTGTTAACTGATGAAAATGAAGGATGGTTTGATTTGTCAATCGCATTTTGAGATTTCTCCCGATTTTTATTAATCTAAATTTCTTATAAAGTATGACGTCAAGGAGATTTAACTCGGATTAAAAAAAATAGAATCACATAATTTAAAAATGTGGGTAAATATTTCTATAAATATATGTGGAGATTAAATATATAAGCAAATTAAATAATCAAGTACGTCAATTAATCTTCCCAATCTCAAAATAAATTAAAGATCATAATTAATCGACAAGTATATGCTAGAAATATGGAGAACATATTTATTGCTAACATATTGTAGATAAGTTTACACATATATATATGTGTGTAGACATACATACTCATCTAATACTCTCTTTGCCATGAATCTACATTATATCTTTAGTAGTCGACGCGCGTATACTTCGGAAGTTTTACATCAATTTTCTTGATTGCTAGTCTTGATGCCCGGCTTTTGTCTAGTATAGTAGCTACTACACGAACTGCATCGTGAATGATTGATCACCTCAAAAGAATTTGATGAAGAAAACCGTTATAACAGGAAACGTGCAATAATAGCGAGGTGAAATAGAGGACGGTGAGGAAACTTTGTAGTGGCGTGTTTCTCGATTTTATTAACATTGAAATGAATCGAGGTTGGCTTTAAATACAAATATATTCCAGATAAATAATTTTCAATAATTTACAATAATGTTCCTTTATTTGTATTCCCTTCATATAACAAATTTATTCCACTTTCTATCTATCCGACAATTTTATCGAATAACTACAATAATGGGGGTAACATTCTCCGGGACGATATTATTCTCTCTCTGCTCTACAATTTATTATACTATCCATCTAGCCGTGTGAATTTTACTGCAATAATGGCGCCGACGGGTATAAAACGGCGGTCGCTGTCAGTCGACGCTATGTATATCGGAGCGCGCTCGAAAGTGCACACCAGAAATTTCCGGCTGCGCTTTTTTTCACTCTCTCTTTCATTCTCTCGCACGCACGTTGGAAAACGCGCACGAACACGAGTTCAATTTTAACTCTCGAAACGTTAAAAAGAATCGTTCGATGGCGCGATGCAACATGTATGTTGATCGCACTCGCGCGTTGAATCCACAGTGTGCGCTGACGAGAGCTCTTCAAACGTATATTGCATGTATAGTCAAGCTGTCCCTTGACTCCTCAGTTTTATCACCGAGTTTTTCCACGCGACTATTCTCCGTATACTTTTTACACGGCGATTTTGCGATCTTTACGGGATCTGTGCACGTGTTCGTGACAGTGTTTCTCTCGTTTCTCTCTAAACATCCTTTCTGGGTACTTTTGCGTCAACCGTTTCCCGCAAAGGATTATTCGTCGCTGTTTGCTATGCTCGCAGAAAAACAACACGGAATAATTAACGACTAGTTACGAATCTCATTAAGTCAGAAGAGCAGAGATTAAAACGGCAATTGCTGGAATGAGTTTCCGTCATATCCACCCAACGGAATACGATTAAACAAACCCGCTGTAACTTCCAACGAACAAAGGGGACTAATATTTATATAAAGATAAAATATCGAGTGAGATGAGAAAATTCAATGTTTATATATCCATTTTATTCTCGGTAATATTATTCTCTTATTTTTATTATTGGATTTAAACATTTGCTTGGATATCTGAAAAGTATCAATATCTCGGACGCTATTAAGGCTTCGTAAATGTTTTTTTCTTCTTCCTCTAATGTCCGTCGACTAACGACACAATGTCGTTTTTCTCTATTGTAGCTCGCTAGCAAGTTTACTGGCGACGCTCCAATATGTATTTTCTTCCCTCTTGCAGGCTGTCACATCTCACGTTTCATAGCTGTCCTTTCGCATCGCCTACTCGTCGTTGTCGTCGTCGTTGTCGTAACATGGCGAAATAGTTTCGCGCCAGAACAATGCCACGATTACGTCGGTCCGTGTGCATTGTACATTATGAGAGGTAATACGCGCGTCGCGCTTCTATAATTATGGAAACCAAGCATAAACTCGACGATTTGCATTTCAAACTACTATTGTAATCTTGGGTCCGACAGGCGACCGCGGGCACGCTTGTTCCTTCATGCTTTTACTTGTCTACCTACCTTCTGTCCTTACTCTTCATCCGTGGAATGTCTCGAAACTGCCATCCTTGCTCTCAGTTATGCATTCCTCGATTAATTTGAAGTTTTGGTTCTTTCTTAACAAAGATACGGAAGCATGAATGATTCTTAAGCTATTTCTGTTGAGATTAAAAGACTTTGTCTTTATTGAATTAAAGTTCAGAAATGCAGAGAGGTAGATAACATTTTGTTATTCTTCATTTTATTTTAAATATTCGCAAAGGTGTCCAATATATTAAAAATTTCAAAAATTAACTGCAATCAGATTTTCACCGATAAATTGTATTTTGAATTTATGAAAAAGATGATAAGAGAGAAATACGACAAATCTCGCATATGCTATACATATGTGGATCCATCGTTTCGCATGTGCTGTCACTCTTCTTCTTCCCGATTATTCACATTAATGCATTTCGATGCATTCAGCCAATCCGCCCGTAAATGCGTTTTCGGCGCAAATTTTATTTTATGGCGAAATACCAAAACGATAATGTCGATAAATTTATCTAGATTAATATACGGCATATGTGTATCAGAATTATTTAAAAATTGATTCATGCGGGACATCAACCGATATAATTTTTGATAACATATAAAACAAACAAATGAAATATTAAATATTCCAATTTGATTTAAATGATATTAATAAATCGAAGATTACTGCCAATTTTATATTTTTAGAGAATTTTATTATTGAGAGATATTTTCACATCAGGGATAACTGAGGCTATCAAACGGATATATGGTTTTGTACATCGTTTAAAAATTGTTCCGCGTAAATAGATATTAATATCGGATATAGATATTGCGAGTATATCGCGATAACTGGCGACATTTAAATCCCGAAGGGTGTGATTAAATGAAAAATCTACGACAGCTGCGGTGCCGATATTTTGACATGTGAAAAAGTTATATGCTCGTGCTACTCGAAATTGCATCGCTAATTAGCGCGTTAATTATGCGGGGCATCGCTAATTGCTCTCAAAGCCCCGGCCGCGCGGCGATTTTGTTTTCCAAAATGGAAATTTGTTTGCATCGAGCCGCGAAAATTACCGCGACCAGCAGAGCGCATTCATTCAGTAGACATCTCGCTAATTGCTTTTAAACCTGCAGCAGACCGGCTGCGTTTCTACATTGTGCCATATTATGTACTTAGGTGCATTTTATTTACATGAAATTTTACATAATTGTAATAATAAAAATGGTAAATATAATAATTGAACTTACAATGTAGCGATATTAATTATAAATAATAACAATAATTAATTAATAAATATATTCAAACCAAAACTTGTTATTGTATTGCAGTAAATTTCATGTTCAAAAATAAACGAGGAGATATGTTTATATTGCAAATAAAAATATTTATAATAGGACAATTATAAAGGCGTACAGAGGAAAATTTCATCACGTGGCCGAGATTCTTTAAAATACGGTCTGCTTTCGCGGGTGTAAATCAATATCGATATAGCTCCGCGCTATACAATATCCGAGCGGGAATGACATGTTAGTAATTTTCAGCGACATGACGTGATAGGTGCGCACGATACGTGAAAATCAACCTTTAACGCTCTTGCCGGCTCGCGTTTCTATTTGCAAGCCCGGTGTAAACGGCTATGGCGTTTTCGAACCGTCTGCGTCCGTTTGGCGAAATATTGGCCGGGCCGATATTTCCATAAACAGCGTGCGACACAGCGCGAGTATACGATTGCGCACCACGACTAGCTAGTTAATTGGATCTCCTCTAATTGCTTTTATATCCTCGGCTACGTTCCACCGCGCCTCGAGGCCATCCGGGGTTCAATTCACGATTGTTAAAAAACATCCTAATATTATCAAAAAACATACAAAAAAAGTTAACAAAAACAGTTAACTGGAGCACTTATTTTCGATATATAAACCGCTGTGATGATATCGAAGAAAAAAACGGAAGACGTGAAAGGATCAATAATTGAATTGTGTAATAAAGGCAAATAAATTTGTGAAATTTGATGGATCTCTGATGGATTAGCAATTAGTACCTTCATCACTCAACTATACTATCGCTTTTGATCTATTTTCATATGGACTTAGAAGATCATGTCGTAATTAGAATGCAAGTTCCTGAGCGTAACGAGATCTTATAGTTAGAGCGTCTCATAATTGGAATGACAAACCCCTGGACATACAAAACTATCTCAATCTAATTACAAACAATATACATGTCTTACAATTGTGTTAGTCTATATCTATAGCAATAATCCTGCTATCGATAATATTGGAAATGCGTGTTATCAGTAATAACTTAACTTTTTAACAATTAAATAAGATAAAATATTTTTTTTATTAAATTAGCATTATTATTTATGTATTAAGGTGGTAAAATGTGATCTCTGTATTTATTTCACGCAGTTTCATTTCGCGAAATTAGCGGTAAGATTTATGGAAGAATTAAAATCTATTCTATGTAGTAGATATACATGACATCTCGACTCACCGTTCGTCGTTTACTTTGTGTTGTAGGACATGTCCGACGTGTGCGTTGGGACCAGCGTAGGGACCATTACCGAGCCGGAATGTTTGGGGCCCTGCGAGCCCGGCACCTCCGTCACCCTCGAGGGCATCGTTTGGCACGAGACTGAAGGAGGTAAGTAAGAACCTCGTTACAGCTTAATTTGTCCATTTGCCTCCGTATATCTTGAACCTACGACTTTCGTGCCCTCTCCTTAACTCCTACTTAGTTGTAGAGAATTAGATAATTAAATTGATCTTAAAAAAGATGATAATCTAAAGTTAGTTTTTAATATTCTCTAATTGATAATAATTGAATATTAAAATTGATTTGATCCAATGAATTTATTTGATAAAATGAGATTTTTTTTCTTTATCGAGAACAAAAAGCTATTTTGATGAATTAATGTTATACGCTGATTTTAACAATAAAATCGCGCGCGTGTGTGTGTGTTATGATTTTTCTTTTTTAACATATAATTATTAGCGTAACTGATGCACATTTAATTAAAAATGGATATTTCTTTTCTTATTAATTTTAAACGATATGCTTTTTACAGCGAAATTTAGTTGGATCTGAAAATTTAATTTCCACATTCTCGGTTACTCACTTGTCAAGTTTGTTTCCATCGAATTTATCCTGTTACTGGCCCCGGGCTCTTCGGATAAAGACCTAAATGATACTTATTGATTTATTGAATTTCTGCAATCCGCTGAATAACAGTAATAACATTAATGGTAGCGCATATATAAAGTCCGTGCTATTATTACGGACATCGGTGTCCTAAGGGATTATACGAGCACATTTTCTATCGTTCAATACAAAATCATCGTATCTGCCGCCCACTTGTTTTTCCCGGGATATTAAGTAATACTAAGCATCGTTAGATAGTTGATATATAAAATAATGTTCACCGTTACTACGCCGTGTAAACGTAGAGCGCAGGAAACGAGCCCCGCTTACTTCGCGATTTTTTTCGTGATATAATAATGAATGATAATTGTGTGCAATGCTTCCTGAAAAAAAGAAGCATCACCACTTTTGTCAAACAAATATAGGATATTAATTATCTGACAGTGTATGTATATATGATTAAACAACTATTAATATTAAGTAATCTTTTAATACGAGAAATATTTTTATTTATATTATAATATTTCTTAGTTATATATTAATTATTATTTCAATATTTTTTTCACTAAAGTTTGACGAGTTTAGGTGTGCTTGGAATTCTTCGGTAAATATAATTTTCTTTTTAATTTTCGTATGTCCTAAAAATGAGCAGATCAATGCATATTTACATAATAAATGTCAGAAGTAAAACAAATAGCTAAATGAAAAACTCGATAATGGAGATGTATAATGAGTTTAAGATGAGTCGACACTTTAGTGAAGATTTAAGTAGAAATCTAATTATTAATAGAGCAATCTTTGCGATTGATAATAGTTAGTAGAATAAAAATAAAATAAAGTTTTGGATTAATTTTTCTCTTTACAATAACATCGAAGTTTGATTTGTCTTTGTGTAAATTATGATTTAAATTATGATTTTCAGAATTAAAATTTTGTTATCCAGATTTAATAAATAATAATCGTGAAACCGATACTTTCGCGGTAACTGCTTTGATTGCACCGTGTTATAATTATTCCAATAAATAATAACAAGTATCGTCATTGTGGTATCGATCGAATAAAAATCGTAACGTCTCGTGTCGACTGAAAATAACTAGCAACGAAGATCAATCAATCGTTTGCCCCGAGTAAACAGTCGGAGAATACGATGTAATAGGAATAGCATCCGATCGATCTTGTTGCTGCTCGAACGATTCGGGGTTATAAATATCCATCCGATATTTCACTGGGCGGAAAAGTCGGGTAAATAAAAATGTTGTAATCGCGACTTCATTATTTCGTTTGTTGGAAAGCGCTTTTCAATCGATTGCAATCATATAATTGTCATACATACAACATAACATATATATATATATTTTTTTTTTCATTTATATATATATAGTATTTTATTCAGTTTTTTGTTTAGAAATACTTGTTATGTTTAGAAATACTTGGTATGTGCTTTATTTCGCTTCGATTAAAAAAAGATTTCTACAATAAAACATAATCAAGAGACGCAAGAGAGAATTATAACTTGCCGCTTGATTGCCGGACTGGTTTACCGCATCAAAATGTTGCACTGTCATGCTGGTATATTGCTACCGATAAGTATGATTAGAATAAACGCGATAATCTTTATAATTGGATCGCCTACGAGCTTATTAAGACCATTTCTACGATTATAAAAATAGTGATAATCCGTGATAATGATCGTTTGCAAAGTAATGCAGGTTAATTTATTCGGATGTAAGCTTTTCATGCTCAATAGCATACGTTTCGTAGACGTAATTTTGATGTTTTACATGTCGTTAAATCCAATCGCTAATTCTAACGATTAATGCGAGACTCGCTGTTACGTGTAGTGCGTATGTGTGTATAAACTGTTAAAAAAGAAAATATTTAAACATTGTAGAATACCTATGTCTGTGTGCGTAAAAATTTTAATCGGCATTTTTCTGCAAGTCACTTAATACTCTGACGCAAAATATAGAACGTCCTTAACGAGTTGTGTGACTCAGACTAATTAGCATCGATAAATTAGATGGAACGTAGTAAACTATATGTGTAATAATGATAACGAATAAAACGTTTAACAATTATTAAGTCAATTTTTCTATTGAATTTTGTAATTAAAATTGAAACACATAATTATTAATACTCGTATAATGTATCTAAACAACTTACCATACTTTTCTCAATTAAACGCGGAGAATTCTTAAATGTTTTATTTTTCTCACTTCCTATATGATAATGTGCCGCGATATAAAATAATGCGCCGCCGCTTGACTCGCACATGAGATAAAACTGATAAGAGAATGAAATTAAAACAAAAGTGCTAGGAAGGACGCGCACTAGTGGAATAATTAATTCTATTGCGAGCGAACGGCGCGCGCGTATAATTAATTCCAATTTTGCTAATAGATAATCTACCACGGAGGAAAGCCTTCTTCGAGTTCTATCATCGCATGCTTGAACGACGATTTTGTTATAATACGTTCTGGGGCGATCTCCGGAAATAATAAAGAAAGCCGCACGCTACACGGATACACGCGAGCATTTCTCTCGGTCGTCGTAGTTTCGTTCACGTTTCGTGACAAAATATCACTATTTTGCATAATACATCCTCATACATATGAATATAGATATAAATTACATAGTTTAAGTGTTTAAACATACAGAATACTCCAAAATTATCTCTCACATAACGCAATCCTTTAAGTCAACTCCAAGTTCGTTCTATCATGGGACTATAAAGTTTAACATAATTATATTAAAAAATATATATATATATATAACGTAATATATATATATATATATA